GTCCAAAGCAAGCAGCAAATAATTACCAAACTCTGTCCCTGATCTTTTCTCCTGTTAGCTTTGCCTTTCACATAAACTGAAGAGCATCTTTCCCAGCATGGCCCTCTCCCTTTTCCTGCAGTCTTGTCATTGCTGGTGGTCTTTTCTCTTGGCACAGATGGATGTGCTACCTAACTGCCTGCTTATTTGTCAAGCGGCTATCCCTGCAGATGTTCCAATATGGGGATTTGGAGGCAGCATCTGTATATAAACAACTGATTGCATCATCGTTCTGCTTTTGATCTAGGCCTCGTGGGGCACTGCCCAAAGCATGAATGTTCTTCTGAAGCTGACTTGAATATCAGCTTTCTGATTCCTATTTTTCACTCCTATCCATTTTCCCCCATCACTTTTAGTGGTTTTAGAAATTTGACTGTGTGTCATCTTGGGTATGTTCAGCATGTGTTATCATTGTTTTGCTACTGTTGCTTTTGATCTTTCTCTTAGAATAAGAGCACATCACGGTAGAGTCTTTATCATTCTGAAATAAATGTACTAACTGGCATCCAGAGAGATAAAGGAGCTTGGTTAGGATCAAGGTGCAGCCATTCAAGGATAGAGCTGAGTTTTGTGTCTTGTCTCAATTATCATATTCAACCTGACAGAGACTTTCAGAAAGATCAGTGGGTTCTATGGTGCTTCTGAAACTTATCTATGAACAGACATTTCTCAGATAAAGAAATAGAAATAGCAAATAAACATATGCAAAAATGTTCAACATCACTGATCATTCAAAAGATGCAAATGAGAATAATGTTGAGATTCCACCTCACCCCAGAAAGAATGGCTGCTATCAAGAAATCAACCAATAACAAATGCTGGCTGGGCTGTGGGGCAAGAGGAACCCTGCTCCGCTGCTAGTGGGAGTGTAGACTGGTGCAACCACTGTGGAAATTAGTATGGAGATACCTCAAAGTCCCATTTGACAAAGGTTTCTCTTGCTGGGTATATTCCCAAAAGAATTAGTCATGTATTCTTTGATAAGTGACCTCAATTTAGCTAGAGAGAGAATGATCCTTTACGTTGCTCAATATCACTGTAAAATTTTAAACCATTGGATTTGGTGTGCATAACAGCATATCAAAAGACATATTTTCATAGGCATTCAGTCATGCTACAAAATGCATTCAGTCATGCTACAAAATGGATAATATTTCCTAGCATGATGGTTAGGTGACAAGCATATTAGTTTGATATGCTAGGTTTGGATCTCTGCTATCAATGTTCATTTGAAGAGTTCCTTTGGTTTAATTATTTCAACTCTTTGAGTCTTTAATCATTTTTAAAAAAGAATTAAAGGTTCTACTAACTTTACATGATTGTTGACACACAGTTAATATTAGAGTAATGGTAAACATTAAGGATGATAGTGAAAAATGAATGTAAATTGAAAAAGATAAGAAAATGTTTTCTATTAGGTACAAAGAATTCTTCGCAAAGAGTTAGGGCACCAAATTTTTCAAAACTGTGTGATTTCTGATAAATTTCTGTCCATCTCTACATTTCTGAAGTCTCACTCAGATGATTACACTTTCTTCACGTCCTCTTCCATACTATGGCTGGTCCTACAACAAAGTTCACTGCCCTTTAATTCCCTCATTAGGCAAGACGTATGGTGTTCTTGGATTCTTGGAGGTTTCTAAAGTCATCCCCTTTGGTACTTTCTCTCTTTCTGCCTAGATCTTCTGGCATGACCTCTTTCCCATTGCTGTTAAGTCTATATAAGAAAGTCTCTTGTCCTCTCTTAAGATCCATTCCTTAGCTGGGAGGAGAAGAACCCAGAAATTCAGTTACAGAGGTTTACTGCTAAGTGCTTTTGGAGATAAGACACAATCTCCTTTTGAGAAGGCAGAGGATGTCAAGTGGGAACCTTGACAATGGCCTTAGCTCCAGTCATGCAAATAGTCTTACTGCAAAGACATATATTTAGCATCTATGACATCAGTTTGATTTACCTTGATTAATGGAGCAATTTGCTGTACATTTTTCCAAATGCTGTAATCAATTAGAACTCAAAATAGATTAGAAAACCCTTTATAGCATGGCCGCAATCCAAAAGGGCTAATCCATCAAGAGATAGATGTACATATTTTTTTCCAAACATACAGTGGATAAAGATTTTTGTGTTAAACTAATTTAACGCAGTTCAGGTTTTCACAGCTAGGTACCAGGCACTCTTGGTATCGGTGATTGTTAAAATCAATTGAGAGGAAAGAGTTTTGTGAGTGCTGCTCCACTTTGGTCCAACTTCTCAAGCTCCAGTCCATTCTCATAATAACACATATGAAACGCCCAACTCGTTATAGTAATGTCAGGATAGATCTTCTTCCCTCAGATTGGCATTGACAACCATTTGCAAACTGGTCCCGGGATGCTCTTTCAATTGTATCTCTTCCTTGTCCCTTTGAATCTTCTGTGTTTTACTTTTCTGAAATACTTGAAGTTTCCTCCTCTACAATATGTTACATAACTCCTCCAACTCCATATCTGCTCCTTTATTTCTCTCAGTTTGAAGTAATAAAAAGAACAAGCATTTATGGAGTATTTGTTATAGAACAGGCACTGTGCTATGTGCTCATTATGTAATATTGTCTGTAATCCCAGGCATTATATGTACTGCCCTGGGATGCAGTATTTTTTTAATGATTGCCTATAACAAAGTACTCACTGACAAAGGGACTCAAAAGTCCTGGAATTAAGTTTTAGGTCTTCTAACTGGATGTACAATTTTTCATCTCTCAAAATTTGCATCTCATCCTCAGTAAATAAGAATAATGATATACAAAGTACATAGTTGTTGGTAGTATCAGTTGAAAGGATATGAAATTATTAAAGTTATTTATTTAGCACTTCTCCAAGTGTGGTTTATCTTACCTTTTGTCTGGTCTCAAGGAACTTGTGATTTAGTTGCTCTTCATTTACATTTTATGTAAAATTACTCTATAAACAACAAGTTAGTGTAACTGCAAACTTTAAACAGGAACGAGAGAAGAACTGCCTGTACAACCATTGATATTGCTGCTTGGTTCTTTATGAATTTGCCAGGACCTCACAAAATGCTTGGGACATGGCTGGCCCTCGATACATACACCCAAAAGAATGAACACCGCTATAGTTCAGAAACTCCAGAGGGCAGGCAGAGACTTGGGTTCCGATCCCAGTTCTAGTTCTATACCTCACAGACTCTGGTAAATTCAGCCACTGTGTCCTCAGTTTCTTATCTTTAAGAGGAGAATTTTAAACCCCTGACTTCATAAGGTTGCTATGTGGAACAAATAAAGCTGTCCTTGTGGAAATGCCTTGTAAACTATAAAGAGATGTACATGTATAAGACGACCAACAGACTTGACTTGCACTGTTAAAGGAATGCATAGACATTCGAGTGCTAAGCTTTGAGACTCTCAGAGGATTCCCTTCCAAAAGCCTGCAACTTGAAGTCCAGCGGTTTATTCCATTATTGCAAATTACCATTTGTCTTCTTGACCTGACATTTATTGAATGAACCACAAAATCCTACAAATCCACTACTTAGCTTATTTTTGGCAGACAGGACAATTCACCACTCTCTCCCTGCAGTGTGCACCACTGTACTGATAAGAGTCTTGACCCCTACATGGAAGGGAAAATGTCTTTCTTCATTCCCCAGCACCTAGCTCAGTGCCTCACATAGTGCATGTTTGCTGTGTGTTCAATAAGTGAATGAATGTATAAATCAAATGACTTTTTCCAGATATCCATGAAGCCTACCACAGTGCCTGGTCTGCTGTAATTAGTTGCTCATTTGTTTATTTGTTTTGTTTATAAGAAGAAAGGTTGAATGCATGTTTATCCAATAAGTTAGTAGCAGTGATGGTACATATAGATCTCTTATTTTTAGACCATTATCCAACATGTAATGCAATGGTACTCATCATGGCTTGTACCATTACTAATTGATTGAAACTTGTGCATTTTTTGTCATCAGCTAAAATTCCAATGGTTCAGAAGAAACAAAGGGCCATGTCACTGTGTTTCTTAGAGCATGTAGTTTGGGTTAGTTGTCCAATAGATAATCAATAAAAGTGGTTTTATTGTAGAAATCCAGGAAAATTAAAGAGACTATTTGGATGTTACTTCTGAGAAAGATTGAGTAGGAAGTACTTTGTGTGGTCTGATAATGTATTTATTTATGAGACTAAATGTTTATCTAAGCCTCCAGAAGATCTCTGGCTTCATTTTGGTGTGTGTGCTTTTGTGTTATTTTTCCATGGTCACAACAGCCCTATCCTTCTGGGGTCCAGCTGGGCTATGAAGTAATAAACAGACATAAAATTTGGCTCACTCCATGACAAGAAGTGGGAGCAACCCAAAGCCTTTAAGAAGTTTTCTCTGAGTTGTGAATGTACCAGCAACCAGTTGGTTCAAGTAGGGTTCAAGTAAGTACTCCACAATTGTGAAAGCTACTTATGACCAGCATATTGAAACTGTTCTACACAGTCAGTTGCTGTGCATTTGAGATGCAGATGTGTGTTTTTTTTTTTTCCCTTCGGTCTATGCTTTGACAGCATTTAGCAACATTGAGTGACTTTTAACTTTGATAACTAACCCTGGATATGAGAAAAACTTTTTTTTTTCTTTCCTTATTATACGTTTCCCTTTGTCAGTTAAGAATTCAACAGAAGCTGATGTAAATCAGCGATACTAATTCATTTGGGATGGCAGAACTAATTGTGTTCAAAACCACTGTCTACAGTACCTTACTGAATGTTCCATAGAGGACAGATCCTTTCCCAAGGCTCGTCGCAATGCACTACTTATGACAGTGCTCAGACAGACTCCCACATGATGCAGAAAAATCTCTTCAGTTGCAACTGATAGACCATTCATTCACCAATCTATTTATTTTGTAAGTACTGAGTGAATAAACTTGTGCCAAGAAAAAAGTTGAGTGGTGAAACCCATGGCATATTTCTTCTGGGTGCTCAGTTTGTGGCATGAAAAATGAAGCATCAGTGTCCATTTCCACAGCACCAAGCAGACAGTGCTCCTGGCAAAGAGGGTGTGTGGTGGTCCAGCAGCTCGGAAGAAAGAGTGGCCACTTCCTCAGGTAGACAAGATGAAGGAGATGAAATTGGGAAACCCATCATGGGCCAAGGGACACTTCAATGGTATCAAAAAGATGTGTGCAATATTTAGTTATAAATGAGGAAAAGAGGTGAGAACACAGCCCAGCCAGAGGGAAAACATGCTCTCCACCAGCTCACGGTACCTTCCTGCTCATTGAATCCCATGGATCCAAGCATCTACTCCCTCAGAGCCTGTCTTGAAACACTAATGACAACAAAATTTACTGTGCTTCAGGCATCACTGATAAATATTTTCCCCAGTTTTGTGGAAACTGGAACTTAAACATTTGTGTCACTTCCTCACCTTCCTAGAGCTAGTTAATGGAAGAGCAGATTTCTAACTTAGTTTCTCTTACCTTTCATGTGTCTCCTTAAACCCCATGCTAATGATATTCTTGGGCACATGATCTGAGCAGTTCATAGAGAAAGAAGGCAGGAAAAGGAAATGTTTACTGGCAGCACCTAGGGAGATGGTCCCTTGGAACTGATTTGCCCAAAGCCCTGAATATGGTCATGAGACCTAACTCCCTAGCCCCACCATCGGATGCTGCGCTCATAGCGGCAAGCAGAAAGTCACAAATGTTAAGCGCTCACTTTCCTCTAGATTGCACCGTGATATTGCAACCCACCGTCTCAGCTCATTCCCACAGAAAGCAGGTGAACAATGAATTACTTTCTCCATTTTGTGGGCAAAAATTCTGAAACTTATGTAGTTTCGAGATGTATTCAAATTCCTTCAGCCTATGTCTACCAAGGCCAGCACTTGTAGGTAAGATATTTACCTCCAAAATCTGTCTCCGTTTTACTCCTTTCCTCCACAATCTGCAATGTCTCCTTTAGTATATTACACAGCGATCATAATGAATACAGAAGAGAAAAAGAATATAGCGGAAATAAAAGACAGAAAAGGAGGAGGGGAGGAGAGAAAAATGGTAGTCAGTACGCATTTATGTAAAAGTTACATGCATGCTATAAAGAAGCTACCAGTAATAAATGATATTCACTAGGATAGGACATTGGCATAAACATTCAGGGGAAATTTTTCTGGCTTGGATTTTGAAAAAGGGAACTATAAGAGCATGTAGGGTTTTCAGTGTTTTGCAGCAACATATTGGACACAGGAGGAAAATCTGCACGACAAGCCTAGAAAAGCGGCAGTGTTGGTGATTACAGAGAAATTTGCTGAAACACTCACAGAAAGACCACGCCGCTCTCTTACCCCGAAAGTCCGCGCTCTTTGTTTATTAAATTAAATGATGGATAAAATGTTCATGCTTTTTTCTATCAGCCTGGGGGAATCATTAGTCAAATAACTATTGCCCTTACCTCAAGTTATATTTTCATTGTATTTGTTACATGTCTTCTGAGCTCTGGCTATTGGAATGGGCTTTATATCTCTGCAAGATCCGTTAAATCTCGACTTTGCTGATAGCAAGCAGCTCAGAAACAAAACAAAACAAGACAAAAGCCTTGGAACTATAACATATTTCCCTGCCGCCTTCCTTCCTTTTCCTCTCCTCCCGAAGCCCTCCCCTAGAGAACACTAGAGAAATAAAAATAAAGTCATAATTAAGAAAAGGACTAAGAAGAAATTCCACGCATTTAACCAAAGTTCCATCTCTGGACCCAGGAGGATTGGCGCATAGCGGTGGTTACGCGAGAGGAAGCGTGCAGGGAACTCATGCTGTGCTTTCAACACAAACACAGCTCATAAGGAATAGTTTATCACATAAACCATCTCTTTAATTCTGCAGAGTAAAGGCAAGACCTCAAAAGAGGCTCAGATACCACCACCACGGCCACTGGGGTCTCCCATTTTTGGAGTCCCTCTGGCCCAAATAGCTCAGAGCAATTCACAAACATTTATTGATGGAACCCCGTGACCCTTCCCCCAAGTGAATACTTTAATATCCTATTCTATAGAGGGCAGAATGGTAACATGGAGAAGTTCAAGGCTCTTGGCTGCCTGCCATGCAGAGAAAACTGAGTAGTGGCTGGATTCTGAAAGAAAAGAATCACCAGGTGCACAGCGGATTATTCACGAAATGTGGTGAAAAGAGCACTGTGCTGTAAGGCAGAAGATCTGGGCCCTGATCCCGGCTCTGTCCCTCACTCTCTGGGAGCCATGGCCAGTGCCCTTTCTCTCCCCGAGTCTCAGTTTCTCCAACTGTAAAATGGGAAGTTGAAACAGAAGATTTAAAAACACGTCTACTTCTAAAAGTGATAAATTCTGTATTCTCCAAGCCAGAGGACAAGGCAGGCTGCCTAATCGGGACAACTCCTAAAGCCTGTGCCATGCAGGACCCCTGCAGCCTGTCGCATTCCCACCTTCCATTCCAGACTTACTTCTGCTCACCCTTCTGCAGGTGCTGCTCCCTGACTCCTCCAGGTCATAGGAATTTTGTAGTTTTCACAACTCCTGACTGTTTACTGTTCCACATGGAAAGAACTCAACAAATATTTACTAAATTAGCCAGATTCTGTGTAGCTGAATCCCGACTTCATCTGCCCTCATCTGACCTGTGAGACTCTCAAGCTCTTGAGAGTAGAATTAAAATGCTTATTAAGTCTTAAATATCTGAATAGATCTTAAACCTTAAACCTTAAATATCTGTTGATAGCAGCCTTTTCTATATCCATCCGGATTTTAAAATCCTGATGGCACATGTCCAGGCAGATGGTTTTTAATGTTGTAGGTCCGATTTAAGGCTCCTTGATTCACTTTGGCAATTATCGATCACCTATTCTTTGCCAAAAACACCAGTAGGCTCTGCAGTTACAGAGATGCCCATGGCTTCGTTTTTTTCTTCAAGGATGCTGTGCTCCCCAGAAGACTGAGACAAGGCAAATGAATACTGAAATGCAGTATTGGGATCACTTCAGTAACAGAAATATAAACCAGATAACCAAGGGGCTGCAGACAAATAAAGCCTGAAGAGGCCAGTTATCACTCACATTACTCCCGAACTTGTTTTTCCTTAGATCCTAAAGCAAGAAAGTGATGGCATAAGGATTTCAACTCTGATGACATTTCAGTGTGCGTGGGGGAGGGGGAGTTAAGCTAGACGCTACTCTGAAGAGAATGTTGTGGACATCAACACAGTTTCCAAACTAATGGATACCAAGGTGCATGCTGCTTTTACAGAAAGTAGGTCATTGGAGACATTCCATGGTATCATCTATAGGACTGTTTCCACTCCTTCCTGGCTTACTTTCCATAAATGTAAAATGGGGCAGTTAGATGAGATAATGGCAAGGATGCCTTCCAGCCCTGGTGTTCTGTAGCAACATGGAACGCAGACAGCCACTTCTCTGTTGGTGCTCACAGTAACCCATCGAGGCTGGGCACTGATGTGGAAGGAGGAAGGGAAGGAGACAGGGTTGTTTTTGTCCTCCAGGAACTCTGGGTTTGAAGAAAGGTGAAATTCAGAAACAATCTGAAAGGAAATGGAGCATCAGGAGAGGATTTCTCATTACAATATACTGCTTAGGATGCAATGCAAATTTTTAATCTCTTGAGGTGACAATGAGTCCATACTTGTTATCAAAAGTCACGGTGCCAGGCTCTGGCTTTTTTGAGATGACGTGGGTTTTGGTGAGTTTCTCAGGCTGTCCTCAAACTCCTCACCAGCCTTCTGCCTCAGTTCCTCAGTAGGTGAGATTACAAGTGTATATCATTACACCCAGATCTAGGTGCTGACACTTTAACTGAATAGGTTGGAGACTTTCAGGGATTTGTTTACTCTCATGAAGCTTTATTTATTCTCCATACAGTGGATTAAATAACCTTGGCCCTGCTCATGCCTTGTAAAGTATAAAGGGCTATATGGAGGTTTTTCTCGAGGTATTGTTGCTATTGTCATAAAGAGGTCTAATGCTTTAATCAAAGGATAACATTATATATACATGTGAAAGACTGTAAGCGAAAGAGTTTAAGATCCAGGAGTCATAGAATGTATCCCATTCTAGGCTCATTGGCCATAAGCTTAGTCTATGTTTCATAGAGCAGTAAGTACATGCTAAGAAGAGCTAGTAGGCTTTTGCAAGTATATCGATCTATAAAATCAGAGAAAAAAAACTGCTAATAATTTTCAACTCATCCCGGAGCAGAGACACATGTAACCCTGATTGCTCATGGCCATGGAAGTGTTTCGACTTAGGAATTTATAGAGGGCTTGTCTGCATTTTTAAGCAAGATAACCAGCCCTCTGGAGTTCACCCTGAATAATTGTTTTTACAAAAATCTTTACGAGTATATGATTCTCACAAGCTGGGATTTGTGCAGAGATTTAAATTTCTTGATAGAGAAGGTGAATTTTTAATTCACACAGACGTCAACGAAGACCAAAGCTAGGATATCAGCCCCCTCTAGTGGCAGTGTTCAGCCAGCGCTCACGCTGCTTGGGGATGTGGGCAAATAAATTGCGGACTCTAAACTTTGGGGATGGGGTGCGCTGTAGAGGTCACAGCACACCCTGGAGAGAACCTCCGTGGGGAGCTCTTGTGGGAAGCAGGGATCTAGATCACAGCTAAAGACAGGGTGAGAGATGAGGTTGAGAAAACATACAGATTGACCCAGGCCTGTTCTATTTGAAGCTTGCTTTCCTCTAGTGATCATTTTTACCTTCAAGCACAAAGGTACATGGATTGAAGCTTAGAATTAAAATTCAGAACAGATGCAAACAGGATGCTGTGTTAGAAAGAGAGTCGGCTGTGGGCACCCACACATTCTCAGAGGGTCGCCGGAGTGGCCGCAACATTCAAGACATGAAATCCAGAGTTATTTATCTTTTGGCCTTTGCAAAAAGTATATTTTACGAAATATGTTAGAGAAAAAAGAAAACAAAATTAAAATATTCTGACCTGGGATACCCACACAGACACTCCCACATATGTTAGTTGGAATACAGTCTGAGAAATGCTGATGTGATAGTCCTTTTCCTGTTCCATAAATTTAACTTCCATGTTAAACACAAGACGAATGAGCCACATAGGACAGTAATCACCCGTAGTCCAATGCAGGGCCTGTGGAATGGGGTTGTCTTTTTGACGTGTGTACCGAGACAGAATGGCCACCCGTCTATATGCTTGGATGAGGTATGAGGGGAAGAGAGCCTTGTCAACTCACGACGTACTGAAACACGATGACCCCAAAGCAAACATTTTTCACTTCCTTTATTTTATTGGTACATTGTTGTTACACAATATGCTGGCATTTACTATTGGGAATTTGTATCTTACAGAATCTATCTTTTTTTCTATATTTTCCCCATTCCCCTGCCCTCCCTTCACCCCTTCCACCCTTCCCTAGTTACAAAGACTTTGTTTTCATTTTCTCCTTTTCTCATATTGTTTTTTCTTTTCCCTTCTTTCCTTTCCCATACCCCTTCCACTTTCACTTCACCTTCGGACCATTTTTTTTTCCTATTTTACATTTTCTATTATAAATTTTGATCCTTAAGTACACTTTCAGTTTCTCACACCAAAGAAACTATTTGGTATTTACACACTTGTGTCCTATTAATTTTACTTAAGAGTATGGCCTCTGTGCATCCATTTAGCTATAAATGTCTCCAGTTTCTTATTCTTTATGGCTGAGTAGTACTCCAGTTTGTATGAAACACACACACACACATTTTCTTTATCCAGTCTCCAGTTGATGGGCAATTGGGCTGTTTCCAAGTTTTAGCTATTACAAACTGCAGCTATGAACATGGATACACATATATCGCTGTGGTATGATTCTTTTAATTCTTTTGGAAAAATACCCAGCATGGGAATAGCTGAGTCATATGGCACCTCTAATCCTATTTTTTTTTTTTGAGGTAAACAATCACCATACCCACCACCACCCCATGACCTCACTTACCCAAAACAATATACTGCACATTCCCTTAGCTAGTTTCTGTCTGAATTAAATATTGCAAGGGGAAAGAGACGGACCATTTCTCATTCCTGATGAACGTCTCATTCTCTACATCTAGCAGAAGATTAAAATGAGGTATAATTAAATTGATGCAATGCTTCTCCAACTCTAGTTGGGGAAATCTCTGGAGAGCTTGCTTCATTCCTTGGACCTTCGTGACTGTATGACCACTAGTTTTTGTGTATTGAGTTCTCCTTGTTCCTCCAGAAAATATCTATTGAGCAGGAGCCATTAATTATCCACTTAGTCATAAAGCTCATTTGGCTGACATACATTTTTGGGGAAATACGCACCAAATTCTTAGCCTGACAAACTTCTGCCTGCAGATCCACTGCAAAATAATGATCTCTTCAAGCTCTTACCCAAAGCAGTTAGTCTTCATTTCTTTTCCTTTCTGTATTCTCTAAGGTCATTATGAGTCTGTAGTCAGTTCGAGATTTCTCAGACATGACTAGGTCTGGTCTTCTAGACCTCTAACTTGCAACCTGTGTACTTCACAGCTCTCCAACTGAGCTCCACAAAACCTCTCTTATTAGGCCAAGGTTAGAAGAGAGAATGCTGTGTTCAATGATGAGGATGTCCGACTGCTCTGTCAACATTTAAATCGTACTGTCTGGACCCCATAAAAATGTTATTTCTCAGTCCTGTCACCATCCGCACTGTTGGGCAGTAGGGATGGACCATTCTGCAAGTTGTCCTTCAAGGACTCTTGAACCTTCTGTATAATGGCTCCAACATCCTTCAGGCATTACACCTGCCCTTTGGAGTCACTCCACACCACCGCAGAGGATGGGACAGAGCAGGTGAAGGGTGTAGAAGCGAGGGTTAGAAGTGTTCTTCCTAAATTCTACCCATATTCCTTATATGTTGTTAACTGCCATGGGAGATGGGTTTAGCTGTGTTCCCAGGAGGGTAGCACGACATCATTTAGGGGAAACGTCGTATTGCTTGGGCCTTGGATTTAGCTTCTAGCTCCAGAATATTTATTTTATTATTTTTCCCTAGAAATAAAATATACTCAGCCCCCTCCCAAAAGAAATAAGCCAAAGCCTCACCAAGTCATTTCATTCACATCAAAACTGGAGAGACTCGGCTACTGCAGTCTTTAGCATTAGCTCACAATGTGGGCTCTTGTGCGCTAGATGCCTGCAGAGAAATTAAATGGAAGACACGCAGCCGGTTACTGCACTACAGTAACTCTGAAGTCCCTCTGGGGAGACACGGTGAAGGTCCTCTATGGAGAATCACAGAAGCGCCCTGGCACACTCTGATTCTGGTCTCCGTGCAAGGCTTCCACAAACATCATTCTCTGTGGCCACAGTGCGAGCATTACACGCCTGGCCGCACTTGAGGTGGGAGAGGGGCGGTGTCCTCCCTGGGAGCTACTCCTACTTCACAGCCGTGTTTCTCAGGTAAGAGGTTGTTTTAAGGTTTGCCAAGCACTTGCAGGGTTTTGGATCCGAT